TCGAAGAGGTTATTCTTGATAGATTTTTAGTGAAGAATTTATTATAGCTATTCTTTGACTTTTGATGAATGCATATATTTATAGGTCTGATGCCTGTAATGTTAGAAGAAATTCTGAACACAAGAATAATGGTGAAAAAAGCTGTGAAAGATTACAAGCAGCAGCGGGTTCGATTTTTTTTTTTTAGTTGTGCGAGTGCTGTTATCCTAGTTAGATTTCTCATTTTATATTTTTTTTGCAAAAGAATGGGTCTTTTTATATTTTTTGCCAAGTTCTGAAAACGAATATCATCTTGCCTCACGCATCTACATTTTCGTGAAGTAAAAAAAATCGTAGTTTTTATAAAATGTCAAAAAACGTAGTTTTTTTTTTGTTAAATATATAGGACTTGGACGTATATGACTTAATGGACTGAAACGTCTTATCTCACTCTTGCCTCTTTTCCTCATTCTTTTCCAGCTTTCTGTATTCGGTGCGGGTCACCCTGGATGCTGCGCAGTCGGCTTATGACAAATATTCTCAAAAAATGGCCTACGCACACTGAGCATACGGCAGTTAAGCTTAGGACCAAAGGACCTGGTACAGCTATGCGTTGAAGCATCCTAGTAACACCACATGCACAAGATCCCCACATTGATTGTCCAGGGGCTCCCTTTCTGTCCCTTTATATTTTGAGGAGGCTTTGGTAAGGGTCTGTTTTTTGAACTTCATTTATTTAGAAATGATTCCGATTGATTTCAGAGACTAGCCCGTATACTCGATGCCCGACAGTTGGCGCTCAAATTAATCGCCAATGTAACGTACGGTTACGCGGCAGCTAATTTCAGTGGTCGTATGCCATGCGTCGAAGTGGCCGATGCCATTGTCAGCAAAGTAGGTGATTCTCGGGAGTACTTCACTGCCTAAAGTTTGTCCGTGCGTAAAATAGATGTGAAATGAAATTTACCTTTTCTTCGCTGTAGCAGCGACGTTTGCGCAAAAAACGACAATATTTTTATGTGGAACCAAATTCTATGAATTTTTCTAGGGAAATATTTTTTTACATATGGGATGCTGAATTAGTGAAGTTAACGGAGAATTATAAATGCTATTTATAGAGTAGATATCAGCTTACAGCGAACAATATTGCAATATTACTGATAATTTGGCATGCTGAGTGCTCGTTTAGCCGAGATTACGATGTTTTGTCCTGCTAAGTTGTAAACTTTTTGTCTAAAATGGGATTATTAAGGGCAGAGAAACACTAGAACGTGCCATTGAAATGGTCAACAATGGAAATTATGGTGGAGCACGTGTAGTTTATGGCGATACTGATAGCATGTTTGTTCTCTGTCCAGGTTTCTTTTTGGTGATAATGAATGCACTAAAACGGTGTAGCTTTTGCGGATGTCAAAACTTTTGATGGATTTGTGCATGGAAAAACACCGAAGCATGCATAAATCCATCAAAAGTTAACTCGGAATTATGCGAGGAGCACACAGCACCTTTTTTTCAAAGTGAGCTAACGCGCAAGAGGCTTTTATATGTTATTCTAGAGAGTGTACCACAGGCAGGAGTGTGTTGGGGGAGGGATATGAGTAAACTGTGATGACATCGGAACTGAAACCTTTCTAGGTGTGTCTTTTGGGAAAACCATTAACTGGTTCCAGGAAGAGAAAGAATGTTAGGATTGCCAGCAGGCTGACCAACAGGCGATGCAGCAGTGCTCAAAGCAGCTACAAAAATTGCCAGTTGCATTTCTGGAAAGTACTTGTGTGTACAAACTCTTAATTCTTTTTTGCTGGCCGCAGCGCTTCTTCGGAAATGGAGTAGCTCAGATGCAAAATTGTTTTTACTGCATTGCACTCTTGAGTCAGACTGTCGCGTAATATATAAAAAAATGATTGTTTTTTGTTGAAAATAGATTAAAGATCAAATGCGTTACTATGACGCAGTACCCCTCTCCCTGGTTCAAACCTTGGCCACCCTACCCTTATTAAACTTTCGATCTTTGTCCCCTGGGGTATAAAAGCACTCTTCCCCATCGCCGGGATATTCATTGTTTTACGTATCCACCATTTCTATTTTGCCTGCGACCTATTTCTTCTATTTAACCAATACTTTTAGGACTGCGATAAGACATTTAGTTTGCAAAAAGTGAAAAACTGGTAAGGAAGTGGAGAAAAGAAAAGAATTAGGAAAGTATTTTGTAAACTGAGAATGTGGTAATACAACAAATTTAAAAAATGCTCTGCCTGTGTTTTGTCCTTGGGCTGCGTATGAAATGGAAATAGAAAAGGAAGAAAAGAATAAGAAAGGAATCGTACGGGCGGAGAAAGCCATGATATTATGATATTATTATAACATGATATTACTCGATTTTATGATTATGATATTATAATTATGATATTGTGATACATGATATTATGACATTATATTACTCGCGAGTAACCTAAGCTCATAAATTACGGTGGAGTGAATGCATATTTGTTGGTTGCCATTTTCAGGATCTAGTCGTGCCGAAGCCTTTGAAATTGGACGAAAGATTGCTGATGACGTGACCAATGCGAATCCTAATCCTGTGAAACTGAAGCTCGAAAAAATAATGCATCCACTAATTTTGGAGTCGAAAAAACGCTACGTCGGAATGAGTTATGAAAGTATCAATGAAGATGAAGGAATTTTTGATGCTGTAGGTATTGAAACAGTTCGAAGGGATTCTTGTCCTCTCGTCTCAAGGGTTAGTTTTTTTTTCAGTATTCATTTTGCTTTTTATGAGTTTTTGTTGTGCAGCGAGCTATAGCGCTGCTATAGCGAGCAAAAGCGCATATGTTCGAGGGGCTGTGTGTGTATGTTCGGGAGCGAGTGTATTTTGTCACCCACGTTCATCTCAGCAACCAGGACAGCTGGAAGGCTGAAACTTTGGGTATATGTTCCTACCTCATGTGTCACCCTCCCGTCTCAATATTTTCCCCCATACGCGCCTAGACCCCGCGTACGAACCCCCGAAAAAAATATGCAAATTTCATTGGCTGGAAACGATTTTGCAAACCAGGCAACAAAGCTCAAACTTTGCAGGAATACTTCCTGTACATGTACGAACTGAAGATTCCAAATTCAGCTATCGCGCACGCTTATACAGCCCGTACGATCACGTCAAAGTTTGCAACTTGGTACTGTGCTAACTCGAGAACTTGTCGGGAAACAGTGACTGAAATTTTGTCAGCATGTTTCTCCCCCATATGAGAATTCGTATACCTAAAACGAGTACCGATGTGCACTTGCGCCACGACTTATGGCACTTCAAATATGTTTGTAGCGAAGTGGGTATTTCGCTTACTGGTAAGCTGTGAGGCTGTAAATTCACTGGGATATTCTACTTTCAAGTACGGTCTTAGTTCTGTTTGGGGGCGAAATTTCCTGCAGGTGGGCGTGGGAAATACTCAACTTTACCAAAAAATCATAAGCGAGTTAAACCCATGTTTCTATCTTAGGTTCTGGAAAAGGCGCTGCGGTTACTATTTGAAGGCGATATGAGCCGAATGGTGCGATATTTGGACATGCAACTGTCTAACCTCGATAAAATGCCCGTGTCTGATTTCGTCTTCAGCCGAGAGTATCGCAAATCGTATGCGGAATCTGCAGTTGTGGCTTCGAAACTCATTGCTGAGTAAGTATTACTCGGGGTTTGCTCCCTACCTGTTTTAGTTTTCGAACGAAATTCTTCAAAATTATTTGTACAGCCACTTGCCCACAGGGAATTCTCATGTTAAAACAGACACAGTTATACTGCGTTAAAGCGTCACTTCAAAAGTCTGACTTCATATTTTCTTGATTGCCTCTCAGTGCCTTATGCGTATGGCTTCCCCGCTTTTTTTGCATTAATGGTCAGTTCCGACAGCAGGCCTTGAGTTTGATTCAGCCCATTCATTCGTTTCGAGGTAAATTGGAACCGGCATATGTCAAGGAGCCATACTGGTCTCCATCTTGTTTAAAAACAGTCCTGAAAAGAGAGCGCAATCAACAGCCTTGTTGGCAGGTGATTGCTGATGACACCTGCAATTACTACATTTATTTCCTCTGTGCCTCCGCCCCCATGGGAAAAAAATGCGGAAGGTTTTAACGTTGACTTTGATATCCGTACAGTCTTCTGCATACACTGATTGCTATAGTTAAAAGGGTTTTTATTCTCGTACCACGTATGAACGTTTCGATGGACCGAAGTAACCAATTAGGATGCTTGGTTGAACCAGTGACAGAAGATGATTTATTATATGATAAGCTGACAGTGAATAGATGAGCTATTGACGAATCACCAGTACTGGCTTGAATAGAACAGTTGACGAAAGGCACTTAGAAGGTAGTCGTTGACGAACAATGCACACGTACCTCGGATCGTCCATCTTATATACTGGTGCTCTTGTAATAGATATCACACATTACAATCTCCGAAATGGCCTTCATCCAAGTTTACAGAATGGATGCCATAGGAACCAGGGCTGGATTATCTCGTCGTAGATTTAATCTGCGGTTAGGAAGTTGACAGGGGAAAAGGTGGGCTGGGGAGTTGGGTCCCTGCTGAGAATCCGATCTCCAATGGGAACGTCGGGAAGCGACGTTCAGCTGGAATGTCATCGAAGAATGACAAAGTTTTTGTTTTATTTTTTGCTCTATAATTTCGATTGGGGTTGGGAGCAAAGCGAAGGCTTCGCCTTTACACTGTAAAGCCAAGCCAGTGCTTGCGTATGTTGGTATTCTTTCGAGTAATCCAGGTTTCGGTATTTGCTTGGTTGATTTAGTGTTGAAAAACCGAAAAAAAGATGTATTTCCTTGTCACTCTTGTTATAGGATTTGAAAGCTCGAATCGACCATCATACTTTGAACTCTGTCCTGGTACTAAAATCAGTTTTGCTTGAACGATACGGAATGCCAAGTTGCAAGATTCTTTGAAAATTTTCATACATTCTTGGTTCATCTGAAAAGTGTAGCTTCTTGCGTTATTCTACATTGTTATGGTTGTTAGCTTTTTGGCAAGGCCACAATGAGAGGTAGCGGAAATCACATAACAGGCTCTTTTCCCTCTTTTCCAGTAGCTCTTATGGTGTTTTTCACTAGCTTTTATGCTTGTGCGGTAGGATAATGTCTTGAAAAATTTCGACATAATTTCTCATTTTGTTTTATTTTATCGCCCCTCCAGCTCCATTTTTGTCTAAATTTTTGTTTGATTTTAAATTTTCTTTCATTCCCTGTTTCTTTGCAAGATTTCGCTGAATTTGATTAAATTTTTTTGTTTGTTGATAAGATTTAGCTGAATTTTACGGAGAAACTGCTAATATTTTGAAATTGGAGAGAGGAATTTAAGATTAGCACCTGTAACGCTGGATCATTTGCACATATTAATCATTAGAGGATAGTGGTTTTTTTTGCGCATTCATTCATTTGACATTTTTTGAAGCGGAGTCGTTTTGCAAACGACCGAATTGTAAGTATAACTGCTTCCCGTGAAGTGCGTTTCTGATACATTAAAGTTGTTGTTCCTATAGAGGCGTGACGTTTGTTTTTTGAGACAAGAACCAGTGCGCCTTCATCTTCCGAAATTTAGTGCAGTTTTAAGGTGAATCTAAAGGGACCAAAAAAGCACATATAAAGCGTGTGCGTAACGTAGACTTCCGATGCTGTTTTCCAGGAAGCGAGAAGCTATTTGCCCTCGTAATGTACCAGAAGTTGGTGAACGCGTGCCGTATGTAAT